TTTAAAGACCAGACATGGACGGATTTAGCGCGGGTGTCACTAGGAAGGGAAGGGGACTTCAACTCTGTTTTTCGTGTATACCGAAAACAGGACAAAATAAGCCAAAACCCGAAAACGTTTATTTCCATATGATCGCCGCGATCAGTTACCGTCGCTGTTGTCGTTGCGATCATTACAGAAAAAGTTGACCGATCTCGCTTTAGTGGCTTGGTTTTTCAGAATACATGTAAATAATAGTTTTCTCAATCAATGGTATTCACACATCGTAATTAAATTCAAAACTTCATTTACAGCAAATTAAAAGGCTTAGCTTCACAAATTACTTGGTAATTATTAGAATTAAAGCGCATTAATTAACAAAGATGATACTAAATGACTACGTTCACAGCGGTGATCCGACATTTTTTTTAACGACATGAGAGATCATCTTAGTTATGTACGCAATAGGCGATCTGCATGATGGCACATTTGACTACAACTACTAGAATTCTTCACTATTTCTGTTTCTTATGCTAATCAGGGCAAGTGTTATTTAAAACCCACTGGGAATTCAAAATTTAAATAATAAAGAAAAAACGAAAGGAATTCTGGTAGTTGTAGTCAAATGACGACTACATGCAAATCTGCTATTTTAGGCAGCTTCTAAACTAAAAGCCAGGAAAAAATTCAGGCTTGAGCGGGTTTCGAACTCATAACCTCTGCGATGCTGGTGCAGAGCTCTACCACCTGAGCTCGGCTGGCCTTGTTGAGAGTCTACTATAACACACCACGTTTGGTCACTCAAAAATCTTGGAAAACCTGACTACTACTGACTGACTTACAAGAACGCAGTCTGAAAAATTTGTCGAAGCGCAGTAATTTGTGCACACCGAACTATACTAATATCTTCGGAAGATCTCTAAAGTTAGGTGGCTTTGATACACAATCCACCATAGAATTTCTTTAATTTCGTCTTTCCATACAATAAAGTGGGTTTACTATATGTCGAACCAATGAAATGATTCCCAAAGGAATCAGTAAAAATTTGTCAGATGAGTATCACTCGTCAGCAAATCCCAACTTTGTTTACTCTCACAGCACTACTGAAACACATAAACACAGTGTTTCGAGGTATCAGCAACAAAAACATGTCCATCATTTGACACGGCGACATACTTAGGAGCCGTGTCATCCTTATAGAAATGTTCTTCTATCTTAGTGACAAACGTTCCGTCCAATCTGAAAATTTGCAGTCTGCTGTTCCCGACTTCGCAAACGATTAGATTATTAAACTTGTCAATTGCAAGTCCAACAGGACCATTTACTTGTCCGTCACCAGACCCCTGACTGCCAATATTGTAAAGAAACTTGCCCTCCTCGCTGAACACTTTAATAGTATTGGCTTCAGCATCAGAGACGAAGAATCTGTCCTCGTGATAAACAACACAAAACAGGGACTGGTCACAGTCTGAGGCACGAAAGGATTGTAACAACTGCATCCCGTCAGGGGAGATGACCCTGATTTCATTGCTCTCCCAGTCACATGCGATTATGCGGCCATCAAATCCAACAGACACGTGAGCTGGTAACTCTAGGTGTTCATCGTTGATGTATTTGATAAACAGACCACTTTCAGTGAATAGAGAAATCATATCATCATCCTCAGGGACAACGGCAATGATGTCACCAGACTTGGTAAATGCTACTGATAAACACTCACTATTCATTTCTATCTCCCTCAGATAATTTCCATCAGAGCTAAACAATTGAATTCTTTTATTATCAGAGTCTGCCACAGCAATGGTTCCAGTTTTTTCACTCACGGCAATATCAAAAGGCCCATCAAAATGCCCTGGTCTATTGCTATGGGAACCAAATTTAAACAAAAATTTATATTGATGTGGGATAACTTGAGCACTCCAGGGACTACCAGTCAGC